ATTACTAGCCACCATCAATCTTTACTTATAATACTTGTGACTTAAGATAATCCGTACAGGATTCACATATACCAATAAGAGAGACTGATCAACTGTAGTCCTAAACATCAAAATAGGAAGATTCAAATAAACAATACAAATAATGAATTATTCAAACTAATAGTTTCAACATTAATAATTTAACATGGATTGGATTGGATTTTACAAATAATCCTAAACTCATATATTACAACGGTGTGAACAAGATGTATTTGCCCTATACTTGATCATTCTTTTGAACCATTAATGTGGATGTATAACTATAGAAACTGATGGGAATATTTAAATAGTTAAATTGTGAACAGATAAAATCTGTTGCATAAATTTAACAAATTAATTTATTATCACTATGGTGATTTGTGAAGGTTGTAGTATTTTCACAGTTGAATTCACGAGTAGATCTAATCTAGTTCACCATTGAAAACATGGAAGCATTGAATGACTGTTTCGTTCTACTATAGAAATCCTCGGCAGTGCAAATCCGTGACTTAGTACGCGGGACTCAAACCCAGGACATTTGGTTCAGGTTTTCAATGGTGGTCTAGATGAGATCAACTCGTGAATTCAACTTTGAGAATTAGTTTATGGTAGTAGGGATAAATAGGCCGTATTAAATCACACTTAATAACTTACCTTAAGTAACTTGGACTAGAACGCTGAACAAAACATTTGGTACTACTTACATTTCAATCACTGAAATAATAATCCAAGTCAATAACTTAGTTCTATGCTTATGTTAGGAAGATATCACATTATTTCTGTTGAATCAACTGTCATCGTATTGCCATAATTTCAGTGGTTTATACCTTAGTGATTAAAACTATAGGCCTCTACTAATTGCTTTATTGACTCTACAGAAGACTTATTATTTCGTGTAATCGTTCCTCAGAATAGTGGTTAAAACTTTCAATTTTGGAATTAATAATCTATAGGATTAAAACAAGCCCTGCCTACTTCTATCCGGACGTTTGAGTAGTATCGCTAGCTTACAGCCAAATCTTGCGAGCGGGATCATGAGTGCGCACTGCTGAGGAGTCCTATACTAGGGCAAAACGGCCGTCGATTGCTTACAGGTTTTCCATGGTGATCTAGTTTAAATTGGCTCATGAATTCAATCATTAAATTACTACAATCTCCACAAAACTCCCTTTCTGAAATACATAAAATTATATTTCACTTATATTTTATAACCATCATCATCAACTGTGATGCCTAAAGTAGAAAAATCGAAGGATTGTCATAGAAGATATCATACTTGGTTAGAATATTAGGCGATTATAAAACACTTCGGATATGCACAAAATTATTGATTTCTCCTACTGACATATTCGTTACCTTTATTTACGTAGATGAGTCTTCACTAGTTCTATCGATGTCTTGTGAGTGAAAAATGGTAGAATATTTCTTTAACGTTATACATAATGAAATATTCCTTGTTATTCACTCAAATGTTTTTGGATTGTTTTTTTCTTAACGATCATTTACAATTCTGTTAATCAATCAGACAATGCTCTTCAGAAACTGTTATGTTTGAAGCGATTATCAGTTCACCTAATCTGAGAACTGAAAGAAGACTCAGTCACACAATAACAGATAAGCTAGCTATTCTAACACGTCTTAGTCTCGCTAACTAGAGAGAGAAGTTTAAGTTCGGAAGAAAGGGAATATATTTTACAAGCAACCAGAAGCACGAACAACAACGACAAACACAAATCAAGCGTATATATACAGCATAAAATTATCCTTGGAAGGCGTTACAAAATAGCGTACTAAAAGATATAACGACCCAATAGCGTTTAAGTTTTTCCCAAGTGGGAAATACAACATGAAGGTGAAAATGAGCGCTTGTGGCGCGAAAACAAGAAATTCAAATTTTTAAAATAGCATTACAAATATAAGGTATTTACCAAGTTCTGGAGATCCAACATCCTCAACAGAAACTAATTTAAACTATTTTATTCTTGTATGAGACTTCTTAATAGTACTTATCCATAGCCGTTGTAGGGCCAGTGAAATGTCACTGAGCCCTAGCCAAATCATCCAGCTGTTTGGTCACTATATATCGTACAGATCATTGACCCCTCGTCAAGGTCAAAGACAATCAACGTGCATCAGTTAATCGTACGCCGTGGACTGGCCTATGCGGCGGTGGTCTTTCTTTCGGTTGTATCTACTTTAACTAATATGTTTCTGTAATAACGTTCTTTGTATTGTACAGTCTTCAAAGCATCTATAATACCTTGATACGTCAATACGGTAATCCACGTAAGGTGCTGACCACGAGGTGTGACTTCGACGTTAGCTGGTTCGTCACACCATTCCCGTCTAACTCGAGTAGGCCTCCAATCATTCGACATAGATCATCTACGTTGGTGATATACACCGTATTGTAGAATAAAGTTTTGACTTTTAGGTTACAGGACATAAGTATTACTTTGAAAACGCTAAATCGAAACGCGATAGTTTACAGTTTCGATTTTCGGTTTTCTCGAGTTTTCATTTGTTATTTAGCTGATTTCAGTTTGTGACAAAAAAAAGTTTTTACAAAGCATACAACTTAGCAATTGTAGCTTCAAATGACTGATGATCTCAACTATTGAAATTACTACAACCTCCACAAAACCCATTCTGACACTAATCAATATATACTCACTAATGTCGGTCTCCAAGATGTATTTCCTGGCGTTCTAGTGAGGAGCAGTGATCAATGGAGTTCAGAGGGGTCAGCTGTGAGATAGTAACTGACTGATGACAATGGTAGACGTGTCGCTCAATTTCGTGGATTAGTTGAAGTTAGATATTAACACTATTAAATACCGGCCGGTTCAGTGGTCTATAGGATAGACGCTCGTACGTGAGACCGATAAATCCTGGGTTCGAATCTCGCGAGGCGCTATCGTGGATGAGCACTGCTGAGGAGTCCTACAATAGGACGAAACAGCCGTTTAATGCTTTAAGGTTTTCGATCGTTGTCTAGCTTCAATCGGCTCATGATCTCAACTATTGAAATTACTACAATCTCCACAAAACCTCTTCTGATACTAATTGTATTTTTGTTATACATTTTCTCAAAGAAGTTACTTTTATTTTTTATCTACTAAATTTTCTAAGTACATGAGAAACTTCTCAGCAATGCACACCTTAGATCTCGCAGCAAAAGGACTCGAACCCATGACTTTCGGCCTCGCACACCGAGCTGGCATTTAACGGTGTTCATGTCTAAGTTCAATCAATCCACGATATCGCACTGTTATCTAGTATTTCCAGGTTTTTAATGATGGTCTAACATTGATCCATTCATGACATCAATCTAAACTCAATTATTTCCACAATCCTATACTGGCGTTAAATACTATAATAGTATATATAATCAAATTATATATTATCACTATATATAATGAATTACATGAAGTATTATAATTCAATAGTTAACTATTGAAATATCAACCATGACAATCTATCAATAAATCAAGCAATCATATTACTGACTATATACTAACTGACAAAACATGTATGACTTTGTTTATTACTGAATGGTCAATAAACGATCACTTACTGCTTGAACACCTTATTACTAGATTCTAATTATGAAACTTACCTAACCCCTGGGTATATCTAAACTAGAATTACTACAATTTGTTAATAACCATAAAGGTAACATTCAATTCTAGATTTAATGTTTCTTGTCAATTGTCTTTAATCTTATCACATTTATGATTATCATATAAAGTTTAAGGATCAATTTTCTAAATTCAAATATCAATCGTTTAGTAATAAATTATGCATTTTGAGATGATGAAAAAGATTTCTAGCTCAGATGAATGATTTTGATGGAGTTTTGTTCTCTGAATTGGATAGTTTGATCATGGGGCATTCATCGTTCTTTTGAATGACATCATCATCAGCAGCACAAACTTCGGATGGAAATGAAATGTTCGAATTGCTCCATATGTAGTTCAACATCGTGGTCTATAGGACAAGCTATGAACCATATGTGAAGAAATTCAAACACTTCAATTCTACCTAAAGTTTGTGCTATTGATGATATCATTCAGAAGAACAATGAAAGCTCCATGACCCAACCCATTCAGCTTAGAGAACAAAACTCCATCAAAATAAAATATACATTACTACATCTCAAACTACATAATAATATCCATTACAAATATGATACAAAAATTAAGAAGAGAAATTGAATTTAGATTTTACTGTAAAAAAACTTTTCTTTTATTCTACAAAAGTTGATCTTGATGGATAAATGAATGGAAGGTAACGGATGTGGATGGGAATAGAGAATTGGAAAATGTAGTTTCTTTGGTTTTGTTGTTGTTGTTTTTAAAATGGTCATATATATATATATATCCTCTTATTGTTATCCATGATTTGCTCCTTTATTTATTTTTTCTTTTATATTTCAAACTCAACTGAGTTGCTAACTCGTTTTCCGTTTTTGTTCTGTTTTCTTTTTCTTTTCAAAAAAACAAACAAACAAACAAACAACGGAATCTTCTCTTTTATACACAAAATTGTAAACAATTAAACCAAAGTTGTATTAATTTAGTACAGCATTTGCTTTCACCCCCTCTCCCCCCACCCCAAAAAAATAAAATGTGGGAACACTCATCTCTCTCTTTTTTTTGTTTTGATCCTTTTGTTTGTCAGTTACTTTCGTCAATACACTTTTATGTTACTCATATTAGAAAAATAAGCAAACAATTGAAATAGATCCATGTATGTATGTATATGTATATATTCAAGTTTGTGTACATGTGTTTTATGGAAACAATACAATATCACAGTAAAGTGTATAGTAACAATGTAAGTTGATAATATAATCTTATTTAAAGTTTATTATCATTGACAATATTGTTTTCTTCTTTTTTCCTTTTTCTCTCTTTCTTTTTTTTGTTTTCAGAGAAAAAAAATAGAAAGTAAAAAAAAGATGAAGAAAGAATTTGAATTTATTCTCGTTTAAATAAACTTCGTATTGTTGAACGTCTTCGTTGTGTATAATTAGGACCAGTTGTTGCTATGTAGTTATCAGGAACATCAGTATCACGTTGATTCATATAAGTTGTATCATAATCTTTATTTGACTTACCTTTTCTCTAAAACATATAAAGTAGAAAAATATATACATAACAGGTATTATTATTATTATTATTATTATTATTATTCATGGCTTTATTCAATATTGTATTTTTGGTACAATATAGAATTCTCAGCACAAAGTATTTCAACAAGTTTACTTTTTTCTGTTTCTTGATCGATCCTCAGTCAGTCAGTCAGTTAGCTACAACGTAGGACTAGGTACATATATGCATCGGTCCAAGTTGCCATACCTCATAAGCACAACAAGATGAACATCGGATTCATAGAAGTAATTAATTCAGTGATGGTAATATATAAAAGAAAGATTGTGTATAACGATATAATACAGGAAGAGAGAATTAGTTGGTAGAAAGAAAGATATGAAGCGATTTCAATCTTATAGTTTAAGGGTAGACAGGGAGTGTATGCACCATTGTAATCGACTGTGAGCCATGTCACCCAGAGTCTCCAATCATTAATTACGGTAGTCACGTGGACTCGAACCAAGTACTCTGCATCTACTAACATGGCTCAGACTAGAAGTTAGTGATCGATCCTTGTGATAAATATCGAGTAATCGCCAATTAGATGTTCGAATTTCAAGAATCGATATCTGATTAATGTATATTTTTTTCGCTACATATGGCTTGCAACCACGATATCTCTGATTGGGCTCTTTTGTAACTAGTACAACGAAATGTCGTAAACTAATTCTTTCTTCCTGTACTATTGTTATGGCCCAAAGCCGCCAATCAGGAGCAGCGAATTATCGATCGGACCAAGGACGCGTAAAACATGTGCTAGCAGCCTAAAGTCCTGATTAGTCTTACGTTCCTCCTAGCCCAGCCAGTTAAGTCCAGAACACCAATCTCAGCCTCTGCAATATGAATCATTATATTTCAAACATACTAAGTTCATATACCGATCATACAGACCACATCGTACCAATAAAATATGAAACAACATTTGTACAAAAATGAGCCAGATGTGGCTGTGAATGAGGGGGCAGTGACTAATAGACAGGGAATAATTCAAGAATGGATAATCATATAATAACAGTTTACAGGTTAAAATAAAGCTTATGATAAGAGAGATATGAATATGAATAGTTTAATTACACAACAATTATACGATAAAAATATACGCATAGTAATGGTCCATAAATGGATCCTAAAAGTTACCATTCATTACTCTTATAGGGGCATAACAACTATATCCTTATACACAATCTTTCTTCTATATATTACCACCACTGAAATTACTACTTCTATGAATCCGATGTTTATCTTGTTGTACTAATGAGGTATGAAACTTGAATCGATGCATATATGTGCCTGGTCCTACGTTGTAGCTGACTGACTGACTGACTGACTACACCTTCAATTGACTCATTCAAGAAAAGACTAGACACTCATAGAAGCATACTAGAAAAGGAATAACATAAGTCGTAGGCCTTCTATTCTTACTACACAAATCTGAATCTGATTTGAAACTTCTTCCTTGATTTGTCTTTTACGTACTTTATCATTCTTCTAATACTTTTGTTATTTTGATTACTCTCTGTTTATCTTCATCTTATCTTGATTTTAATCTTCTGCTAACAATCATTCTAATTTGATTTTTTTCTACATACTACTTATATCTATCTGTAAGTAGTGCACACTATAGTATACTTATTTTGAAGAGTTTTTATTTATATGGATCGCGTTAAAGTGAGTATCTTTGAATAATGATCTTCAGAGTTTCATATTTAATTACTATGATATGTTATGTACATGATACTAGTCTTTGTTGATTCAATTAGTCATTACCGATGTTTATATTGTCAGAAGGATGTTTCATATCAATGTTCTGCATTGATATATCCATACAAAAGTATTACTGTTATGAATATTAATGACTGATATTTTAATAATAAATCCTGTAATTTAATATGGTTAGACTCAGTAAGTTAGTCAGTAACAACGTAGAACTTCGTAAGTACGTACATCAGTTCGAGTTGTCATACCACATTAACATACACATACAATTGTTGATTCAAATACCATTGTGGTAGAGGTAGTAAGAGTATAAGCAGTAATCGGAATGATTAGGGTTTGAAGATGTTATTCACTGAGTATAATCCAGTGAAATAAATTTGGAAAGAGGAAAAAAGAGACAATGAGGATTTTGAAGATTAGCATTTGAGAGAACACAAAGAGTGGATGCACCTGTACCATTGCAAACGATTTTCATTCATGTCATATTCAAGGTCTCTAACCATCGGTTGCTATCATCTCGCGGATCCCAACCAGATAGTCTAGACCTACCAAAATGACTCAATCTACTTGTCAATGACTTCATGAATTTGTGTCATGTTTTGGGTTTGGCGGCCCCTGGCTTTCTTCCAATCTACTCCTACATCACAAAACATCGCTCGTCGGGGCAGTCGGTGGTTGGGCATACATAACACACGTGACGTTATAGTGGCTTTGAGAATGTCCACCTACTTACTCGAGCTAAATTAGAGTTATATACCTATGTGAAGAATAAAGATTATGATTTACAACTGATATTTAGGGTTAAGAATTCGATTTATGGTTTTTTTTTCATCATGAACTGATATCAGCTAAAGTATTAAAACTTTATTTGATTAAGTGGATGAATGAATATCGCGCCAAAATCTGAGATCTGTTATCCTAAATCTGATTCGTTCGTTCATAAATTATAATCTCGTCATGTTTTCTATACTTATATATATTTATCAAAAATGTATTATCAACTAAACTATATGCTCAAATGTTGATTTAAGTAGTAGGTAACCACTTCGAAAATGTTTTGTATTGTTGAAATTCAAATTTGTTAACTTATTGTCCAATAGGATGTTTACACCTTTAAATATTTCATTTCTTAATATGTGATTATTTATTTTTGGTTTGGTTGAACACATAAACATTGGTACAAAGCGGCATTGAATACATACGCGCTACACAAGTCACTTGATTTGTGTGTGGGCTGTGACACTTCTTGGGGCCATTCCCGGAGCCTTCGACCTAAAGGTCTGATCCAAAAGGCAGTGGAGCAACGTCAGGAGATGCAGTCTCATGGTATCCAGTGACCAACGATTGGTTCATAGACCCTTTCTTTTCCTCAGTATCCTGTAGCCCATGTGCACTATTGGTTTGAAATCAAGGTTTTCCAACTCCCCAAGATGAATTTTCATATCCACCAATCCAGTTAAACAACCAGATATTCCCTTTTCGTTCTCTCAATTTCATAAGCAACAGTCCCGTCATGAGAAAGCAGTGAGTAGGACTTCCGTGGTTATGGTTGTATACGCGTGGCCACGCGCAAGTATTTCGAGAGGGAGAGCTGACTCTCCTCACCCTCGACGGTACCAGGGCATTCGGGAGCTTATATATAAAACAGAAAATGCGTCACAAATGGATTCTTTGATGTGATAACAGTTTATAGGAAAAAAAGACTTACATGTGAATTGTTTGATATCGGATTTAAATCCATTACAATTATTGGATTTTCTTCATTCTCTGGAAAACGTTCCATATCATTCGTAGGTAATTCATCTCGATGATAATTAGTTGAATTGATGTTTGTATTTATTACAGCATCATTATTAGAAGTAGTGTATGATCTTGTTTGTGTACAAGGTGAATTGGATCGTGTATTATGCACAAGTTTAGTTCGATCAGAATTTGGCTAAAATGTTTTTATTAAATAAAATAGAAAATAATCTTTCAGAGAGAAAGAAGTTTTTTTTATGAATAGATTTCTTTCTATTATGATCTTGAAATTGTAAAGGAAAATATTCAATAAATAGATTTGATATTATTGTTCACTATCATCTTATCTAAACATAGTACACGCGCCGAGGTGCGATGTATTATGGTGTAGGAGTAGATTGGAAGAAAACTAGGGGGCCGCCAAACCAAAACATGACACAAATCCATGAAATCATTGACAAGTGGATTGAGTCATCATGTTGGTAGGTGTAGAGTACCTGATTAGGATCCGCGTGGTGACAGCAACCGATATTTAGAGACCTTGAATGTGACATGACTGAAAGTCATTTGCAATGGTGCAGGTGCATCCACTCTTTGTGTTCTCCCAAATGCTAATCTTCTGAATTCTCCTTGTCTCTTTTTTCCTCTTTCCAAATTTATTTCACTGGATTATACTCCTTGAATAACATCTCGAAGCCCTAATCTTTCAGATTACTGCTTATACTTTAACTACCTCTACCACAATGGTATTTGAATGGACAATTGTATGTGTGTGTTAATGTGGTATGACAACTCGAACTGATGTACGTACGTACGAAGTTGTACTTAAGTATTATATCTAATCTAATGATTATAAAATTTCAGTAATCCTACAAGGATTTCAATTTTTAGGTTATTTTTTCTTGATGTATCATTTATGCAATTTTATCTGTGGATGAATCCAACTATTTCCTACATTAACTTACTTGAAATTAACATTCTATTTATAAATTCATTCTTTATGTCTAGACCTTACACTAAGTCACTTTCGGTTAAGTATTTGATGATCATAAATATAAGTTTTCATTAATTGAAATCAACTTTTAGTAAATACAGAACTATAGAAGTATTAACAGAGATTCAATCAGTCTCCTGATATTCTATGACCTTAGATGAAGTGTTAACGCATAGTCTATCAACATAGTTGAATTCATGAGTCAATGTATGCTAGACCAACATTGAAAACCTGGAAGCACTAAACGACCGTTTCGTCCTTGTACGGGATTCCTCAGCTATTCAACTATTAAAATCACTACAATCTCTACAAACCCTATTCTGAACATAATCATTATGTGCTCACTAGTGACTGGCACTAAGATGATTTCCTGGAGTTCTAGTAAGAAGCCTTGATCAGTGGAGTCCAATCCGTGTTGAGTAGAGACAGGTATCTACCTCAAATAACGGATGAATGGTTGCGCAACAACTCATTGACGATTGAAGTTTGACGTTAGCACCGTTGGATGCCGGCTTAATGGTCTAGAGGTTGAGCGTTTGTGCGCGAGACCAAACATCCTGGGTTGAAATCCATTTCGTTCAGGATCGTGGAAGCGCATTGCTGAGGAGTCCTATTCTAAGAAGAAACGACCGTCCAGTGCTTTCAGGTTTTCAGTGGTGATCCAGCTTACATTGACTCATGAATTTAACTATTAAAATCATTACAATTTCCACAAACCTCATTCCGATCATAGTTTCAAATATCTCGTAAGTGAACAAATAGTCATTGATGACATTCGACGATTGTTTCCAAATCACGAATTCATAACGCTGTAAATTTATACCATCGGATGTCAACCTAGAAGTCTAACAAATAAACACTTGCCTGAATGTTCTGGATTCGACTTTTGATGAGTTTACGAACACGTACTGCCGAACATTCTCATAATATAATGAAACAGCTGTTCAATGCTACCTGTCTTAAAATGCCGCACCATCTGCGTTTAATCTATGGATATTACCAATTTCAAATCTACTACGCTCACTATTAATAATCGGTTTTTACATATTTTCACATTCCTTAGATTTCAATAGTTGAAATCACGAGTCAATTGAAGCTAGACCACCATGAAAAACCTGGAAGCACTGGATAGCCATTTCGTCCTAGTATGGGGCTCCTCAGCAATGCGCATCCACGATCCCGCCCCCTTAGATTACAATTCTTATACTCATCCATATTAACACATATTGTTTAAAAATCTAATTAATTTTGTACTGTAAATAAAATTATACAGTTTATAGGAATGGACGTGGTTGTAAATAAAATTTTCTTCGCTTAATTATTCGTTTTATTGTTCATGAGGGTAATAAATTTTAGCTATCTCTGCGCCCCCGAAAATGCCTTGTTACGGCCAAGACTGAGGAGAATCAGTTCTTTCACTCCAAATACTTCCACATGGTCACATGCATACAACCACTACCACGGAAGTCCTACTCACTGCTTTCTCGCGATGGGACTGTTGCTTATGAAATTGAGAGAACGAAAAGAGAATATCTGGCTGTTTAACTGGATTGGTGGATATGAAGGATTCATCTGGAGGAGTTGGAAAACCGTGATCCAAAACCAATAATACATATGGGCTCCAGTATCCTGAGTTGATATGATAATTAGAAGTATTTGAATTATAGTATAAACTAAGAATCCCAGAAATACCGTTATCGGATCAAGAACTACTAGACAACCGTAAACGAATGTACTGCATTTAGAATTCGAAACCAAGTATTCAACAAGTACAAAGATAACATTAGTTCATTCAAACACCACAGTTGATGATCTTAATCGAATCATTTGTGTAGCGCATATCTATTTGATACCTCCATATATACCAATATTTCTATCCTCATATATAAATATCTAATCATGTCATAGACACTTACTTCTGATCTCGTATTTCTAACATAATTTGTATTATTATTATTATTATATAATTGTGATGAATTTGTTCGATTCGATATTCGAATTAATGGATCCATTGAATATGATTGATCTTTATGATTTTGTATTTTTTCTTGATCATAATCATGTAAATTTGTAAAATTTTTTTGTTTATTTAAATAATGAATTTCATTGTTATAAGAATTTAAAAAATTTGAAGGCACAAGACCACGACGACCATCTTTTGTTTCACCATAATAAAATCCATCATCATCCATATTACCATAAATGAGAATTTGTTCACCTGCTCGAAAGGATAATTCAGCCTATAGAAATAGACAACCAAAAAAAAAAATCAATAGAATGGGCGGGCGAGACTCTAATTTATGGACAACCTTGAACAAATCTCAGGTGACCTTGAGAAATATTAGCCAATCAGTAAACAGTCAGTATAGAGTCAAAATATGTTATATAAAACCAAGGAAATAAAATGGATACACTTCTTATATGTGGTTTAAAAACTTGTCAAGGTTAGAAAGAGGTTAAGAGGTTCTAAAATCGCAATGACTACAGTAGTGGGAATCATCCATACAGCTACAGAATAGTCGGCTTCTGGGGCCATGATAAAGTTTCAAAAATTCTTTCAGCCTCGAAGACATAGCTTCAATAGTGTTTATGTGCACACCGGTTGATGAGTGCACAAAATGCTACTTGTGGATAACGAAATGATTCACATAATCAAGCCTATGTAGGAGTCTGTACGCTCTCCAAACATCCGTATATTTTATAGTACCTGGCTGCAGCCAGTGTTACTGGTGCTTTTATTATCCAGTTCGCAATAATTGTCATAATTTGCATTAGTTAGGAATTATATATGGAGTTTTCATCACGAACTGACATCAGCTATAATGCCAGAAATTTATTTAGCCAAATGGATGAAAGACTTTCGACGCAAAATACGAGATCTGTTATCTTATACTGATTTGTTCGTCCACAAATTATAGTCTAGCAGTTTTATTTGTTATAGCCGTTCAGTTATTACCTTTTGTATAAAATCCCCTGTGAACCGATCGTACGTTAGCATTAAGTGCTGATGTTGGCGCCGTAACCTTGAAATCTTTAAAACGCTTCTGATTGGCTCGTCCATAAATTAGAGTCTCGCCACGATTATTACTTATACTTGAAACGAAGGACCTCTGTAATTTCCATGACACGAAGTTAAGAACACATAGACCTTACCTTATTACAAAAGTGAGTGGCTATCAGGAATCAGTAGCTAAGTGGGTAACGCGGTGATATTTGAACTGAACAGTACTGGGTTCAAATCCCGGATTGAACATCAACTCTGGCATACAGGTATACTCAACTGACGAGTCCTAAATAAGACGAAACGCTCTTCCTGGATTCCACTGCTAGCCACTATCCATCTTTGCTTATATAGCTTGTGACTTAAGGCTATATCGAGGCAGTCCGCACAGGATGTGCATATGCCAATAAGAGACTGTTCAACTACAGTCCTAAACATCAGTAGGAAGATATAAGTAAACAATACCAAGGGAATTTGAACTTCACCCTATTGCACAAGCTGGTGACTATCAGGACTCAGTAGCTAAGTCGATAACGTGATGACATATGAACCGTACGGTACTGGGTTTGAGTCAACTCTGACATGCAGGTACGCCCAGCTGACGAATCCCAAGTAGGACGAAACGCTCTTCCTGGATTCCACTGTTAGACATTATCCATCTCTGCTTATAAACTTAATACTTCCAAGTTTTATAATTGACATAACACTAACAAATCATCAGTTTGGAATCCAGTTATATACATATATATATTCATTGATTTTCATTGTCTTACTCCAAGCTAGGACAACTACAAAAGGTTATTAATTCTCACTTTCACTTCTTATTTGAAAAATTAATTACCACCTGAAGCCCCTCTAGGGTGACTGTCGGTCCCAAGTCCGGATACATGAGAAGGGTTGATTATTGGGTTAACAACCCATCCTATCCTATAGAGAACTAATTCGCTAGATGATATTACAAAACAAGGCTAACCAGAAAAGACAAAATAACAATACAGTTGATTTCTTTCTTAACTTACATCAATATCTGGATTAGGACTTAATATATGTGGATCATAATCATAAATAGCAATCATAATTTTTGATTGTTGATTCATTTGTTGTTGTATTGAGTCCATTGGTGGTTTATGATGTAATGTATCTAAAATAAAAAGTAAATATAAGTCATTTAATTCTAATTTACTTGGTATGATTTGATTCATTGTATTTTGAGTTAATTCAGTAGTAGTAATAGTAGTAGTAACAGTAGTAGAAGTAGTAGTAGCAGTAGTATGTTTTGTTTGAGATTGGGAATAATGAAGATTACGATCTTGTTCTAATTCATTAGATTGTAAATCTTTTATTTCAATATAATCAGGTATTGCCATTTGTGGATGATATGAATGTTCATTCATAAAATCTATCTATAAATGATTAAAAGAAATAATAATAATGATTACATAATCCTTTTTAAAAATAATAAATAAATAAATAATAATAATATCAATAGTTGAAATCATGAATCGATTGAACCTAGACCACCATTGAAAACCTGGAAGCACTGGACGGCCGAATCGTTTTGATATGGGACTCCTCAGTAGTGCGCGTTCACGATTCCGCCCACTAGACCACTGAGCCAGTATCCAACAGTGATAATGTCTAACATCAACTACCGAAATTACTAAAATCTCCAAAAAAACCCTCTAATAATAATAACTCCTCCTGGAGCCCCTCTGGGGCTACTTCCGGTCTCAGGTCCGGATAAAGGAGGAGGATTGGGTGTAGGGTCGACGATCCTATCCCGTAGGAAATTAACTCGTTAAAAAACGCTAACCAGAATAACTATTCAATAAAGATAATAATAAATCAACAAACAATCAATATGAAAATCAATCAGTCAATTAGATACAACGTACCCCTATGCATATATATATATATAGGATTATAGCAACTGTTCCTACAACCAATTTCGATTGTGGTTAAATTTTGATAAAACTGTTTTGTAGGCCTCAACATATACGAAGGAAAAACCAAGGTCCTCAAATACAACACGGAGAACACCGACCCAATCACACTTGATGGCGAAAGTCTGGAAAATGTAGAATCCTTAACGTACCTCGGTAGCATAATCGATGAACAAGGGCGATCAAATGCAGATGTGAAGGCGAGGATACGCAAAGCAACAAAAACATTCCTATAGCTGGAGAACATATGGAACTCAAAACAACTTTCAACCAATATTAAAGTCACAATCTACAATACAAACGTCAAGACAGTTCTACTGCACGGAGCTGAAACTTGGAGAACTACAGCAACGATAATCAAGAAGGTACAAGTATTTATAAATAGTTGTCTAAGCAAGATACTCAACATCCATTGACCGGATGCCATCAGCAACAGCGTTCTCTGGGAGAGAACAAACCAGATTCCAACTGAACAGGAGATTAGGTAAAGACGATGGAAATGGATAGGACATACATTACGCAAATAATCAGACTGAATCACGAGGTAAGCCCTAGCTTGGAATCCCGAAGGGAAGCGGAAAAGAGGAAGGTCGAGGAACATATTACGGTGGGAAATAGAAGCAGATATGTGAAAAGGATGAATCACAACTGGAAGGAGCTGGAAAGGATTGCCCAGGACAGGGTTGGATAAAGAGTGCTAATAAACGACCTATGCTCCTCCACGATGTGTAACAGGCGTAAGTAAGTAAGTGTGTTGATTAACTTACTTGATGAATTATCGAGGTGATCGATTAACCAAGAAAAGCCATTACAGGTTCATGTTACTATTACCTTATTAGTACAACAAGATAAACATTAAATTCATAGAAGTAGTTACCTAAATAATTTCAAGAAATTCTGCTTGTCTAATTCAATTCAAAAATATGTATCAGAAGGGGTTTTGTGGAGATTGTAGTGATTTTAATGGTTGAGATCATGAGTCAATTAAAGCTAGACTATCATGGAAAACCTGGGAGCATTGAATTGAGGATTCCTTTACTAGGACGAAATGGTTTTTCAATGCTCCCAAGTTTTCCATGGTAATCTATCTTCAACTGACTCATGAACGCAACTCTTAAATTTATATTTATTTAATGTAAAATAGATGATCTGATTAGAGATTAGTGAAACGATAGGCCCTAGGTTCGAATCCCTTGAGTGGGATCGTGGATATGCACTGTTGAGGAGTCCCACAATAGGATGAAACGGCTGTCCAGTGCCTTCAGGTTTTCTATGGAGGTCTAGCTTCAGTTGACTCATGATCTCAACTATTAAAAATACGTACCTAAATATCATGTATAATTTGGTTAAAACTATATTCTGATGATATATATCATCCTCTGACTGATTATAACTGGAGATTCATCAAAAACCATGCAAGCCATACCTGTATATTTCATTTTAATTTAGTATTTTTAAATAGTACATATCCCATATTTAACCATGTACTACAATATATATAAATAACTGAAGAATATTATTAGAATGAGGGTTTGTGAAGATTATAGATGAATTCATGGGTCGATTTGAGCTAGAAAACCTTTGAAAATCTGAAAGCACTGCCTTAAGAACGTTTTATCCTAGTATAGAACCCTCCAGCAATGCGCATCCACGATCTTGCACCAAAGGGACTTGAACACAGGACCTTAGGTCTCGCGCTCTAACCCATAACCTCCAAACCATTGAGTAGGCATCTGACGGTGTTAATGTCTACCTTCAATAGATCCATGAATGGTCGCGCGACCATTCATCCACGTATGGGACTCCTTAGAAAAGGGCACCTACGATCCTTACACGAAGGAACTCGAACTTAGGAACTTCAGTCTAAGCGTATTATAATGTAATTATCAAAGATATTTCATCAATCCCCTCATTGAGGATTGAGAAATCTTGTGAGGATAAATTGTATTAACAAGAAAACTGGAAAAAAGTTGAAATTCAGGTAGTTATTATATTTTTCTGGTGAAGGGTCAGCTTGTATGTGATCCAAATGTATTCATGAAACATAGAGTTTAGACCGAGTTTGCTGTGAGATAGTAACTCATTAAAGACAATGGTGGAGGGTGGATCAATTTAGTGTGTTGGTTGAAATTAGATATTAACACCGTTGGATGTCAACTCAGTGGTCTATAGATTAAGTGTTCGCACGCAAGTCCAATATGTTCGGGGTTCGAATCTCGTGATTTGAGATCGTGGATGCGCATTGCTGAGGAGTCGCATACTCGGACGAAACGGCCATCCAGTGATTCTAGGCTTTTTAAGGTGATCTAGCTTTGATTTAAAAGGTACAGTTCACTAAGCATTAACCAATTACTTAACTATGCATTCTTATTATTCTAATTATGTAAATACTGAGATTAAAATTCTTTTTCCTTTCGATACATTATGATCTTGTAATTCAATGAATTATTATAACATGAGTTAATAAATGGATCTTTTAATGATTCTGATTGATTTTTTGGTATAAAACAAACTACATTAATGAACTGCTTGTTAGTGAATGTAAGGAAAAAAATCAGTAACAAAGATTATCTATAATGGTTACAATATTACAACTAATATTGTAAGGAAAGATAGAAAGTGGCTAACAGTGAAATCCATAATGCGCGTTTCATCCTATTTGAGACTCGTCAGTTAGACGTACTTGCATTTTTGAGTTGATGTTCACTCTGGGATTCAGACCCAGTACTGTTTACTTCAGCTGACGGGTCCCAAATAGGAGGGAACGCGTATCCTGGATTCCACACCTAGACACCATCCATCTTTGCTTAAAAAGCTTGTGATTTCAAACAATATCTAGGCAATCCGTATAGGATGCACATATATATGAACAAGAGACTGATCAATTGTAGTCTTAAATAACAATTGAAAGATACAAGTATAATAACATTAAGTCAATTTAAACTTCATCCGATTGAACAAGCGAATAGTTATCAGGACTCAGTAGTAGAGTGAATATTTCGATGGCGTTTGAAGCGAATGGTACTGGGTTAGAGTTTCGGAGTGAACATCCACTTTGAGATGCAGGTACACTCAGCTGACAGGTCCCAAATAGGATGAAACACGCGTCCTGGATTCCACAGCTAGATCCTTTTAATCTTTGCTTAAAAAGCTTGTGATTTATGGCTATGTCAAGGCCATCCGTATAGGATGCATGTATATATATGAACAAGAGACTGATCATTCGCAGTCTTAAATAACAATTGAAAGATACAAGTATCATAACACCAAGTGAATTGAATAATGTAAGGATTTGAGATTAGATGGTGGTTGGAGGTAGTCAACAGGAAACCCTGGACCCGGGTTTCGTGCTACTTGGCACTCGTCAGCCAGGTGTACCTGTAATCTTGAGGGAACTGATGCTCCCTGGCCGATTCGATCTCGTGTCACCCAGCTTCGCAGTCAGAGACGTTACCACTGAGCTACCCGAGCCGTGACTAACCTCCTATAGAACTGAGATGTAATCACAATTGATTGATCACAATTGAAACCCGGGTCCAGGGTTTCCTGTTGACTACCTCCAACCACCATCTAATCTCAATACATAGTGCCCGCAGTGTCGAGTCACCTAGACTGGTGGCCACATTGCAACATGATCGATAGCATTCGATCTGCACTAATAAGGACTAGACAAGCATGAGATTGATCACCACCCAGTGATCAATCAATTGTGAATGTAAGGATTTATATTTTCATAACTATTTATATAGAAATATACTTTAACTTACATTTCGAGGAACAGAATTAGTATGTGAAATTAATGGATCATATTTTTTAGTTGTATAATAATTTTGAGTTGGTGAATTCATTTGTCCATGTAAATTATTATCAGTTGAATAAGTTTTATTAAGTTGATCTGATGATTGTTGATTCATATCTATTAGATTTGAATGAGAATCTATTGAATGATTAATTTTTTGTGATCTTAATGAATGTGATTGTAATTCAGAAACCATATTTGATGGAACTAATCCACGTAGACCATTACATTCACCAAGATAAAATCCATCTTCATCACATTCAGTAAGAATCTAAATAGATTATAAAATTAGTTAAATACAAATATCAGATGGGTTTTGTGGATATTATGTTAATTTTAATGGTTAAGATTATGATTCCGTTGAAGCTAGACTGGTCGTTTCATCCTATTGTGGGACTCCTCAGCAATGCGCATCCAGTGCTTCCAGGTTTTCCATGGTGGTCTAGCTTCAACTGACTCATGATCTTAACCACTTAAAAACAAATAAGTTATTGATTTGTGGATATTATTTGTTACTGACAGCTTATGGTATATTCAAAAAACTATGTGGTTGAGATGTGTCTGTTGATCACTGAATATTGATAAGACATTTAAATGTTTCACATCCGACACCGGTTAAGACGTTTCATTGAGAGCCGAAAAGTCACATCCTAAAGATGGTCAGCAGTGGCCCCCCAAAGCTCTGTTACGGCCAAGGGAGAGTCTGCTCTCCCTCTTCAAATGTTCTCAAATGGCCACGCGTATACAGCCCCTACCAGTGAAGTCATACTCACTGCCTTTTCGAGACAGGGGTATTGTTTGCGAAATTCAGAGGATGAGAAGCGGATGTCTGGCTCTTTAACTGGGTTGATGAACGCGGAGTTGGGAAACATTGATTGCAAATCAGTATCCTGAGTGAACAAATGGCGTATGAACCAATCATTGGCCACTGACCACCATGTGACTGCATCACTTTATGGTGTAACATATGAGTAAGATTGTCCTAAACTGATACTGTAGTGTGTGCTACTGATGTTGACGGATATAAGTAATATGTATCATCAGTCGAAAGTGAAATACCTGGAGTCAGAAGGTTAAGAAGATCTAAGAAAAGAGAACAAGAACAGAGAATGCTAGATGTAGACCAATGAGCTGGCCAGCATCCAACGGTGTTAATGTCTAACTTCAATCAATCCACGAAATTGCGTGACTATCTTCCATTGTAGTGAGGTAGATACCTGTCTCTACCTGACAGGAAGAAGCGGCCATCTAATGCTCCCAGGTTTCTAATGGTGGTATAACATCGATCGGTTCATGATCTCAATCAAAAACTAGCATCAAACCTTATTTCGAGTAGAAATGAGTACTTTGTTTATTTCAAAGGTTTTAAATTAGTCCGTCCTAAAGATCTTGTTTCTGACTGGTCGTCATAACTAGTTTTAGTGTTGTCATTTGTCAGTCTTGTTTCGTTAGCCGTTTTTTTCTGTTAATCTACAACCAAGTGATTATTCAACCCTTGCAGCACGGATTAAATAAACCAAATTTATATCAATGTCTAGGAGATCCATTTCTCAATGTACAACCAATGTGAGCGGTAGAGCGGACAAATGACTAACTATCACTAAATCATAAGAAAAAAGTGATATACATCTGAGCTGGCTGATAATACTTAAGTGAATTATTTATTTGCTTGAACGAGAATTCAGGTGGAGAAGACCAATTGATTGTTCAATGCATAATCACACAACGGTCTAGTACAATGTGAAAATCATACATCAAATACACTATTTGCACATTTTCTTTGAATTATCTCTTACTAGCTTCATTGTTCCTCCATTTCTGTTGTTATCTTGATTGCTTTTAGTCACCTTCTTTCTCCTCTTCATTTACATCTTCTAAACCTTATGCTTTCAAACATTTCACTTCCGACTGGCGTTACATGCTACTTATATCTATAAACATAAGTAGCATACACCACAATTACTTAGATTTTTTCGTTAACTTGGCAACTGTTAGGATTATTATTCGTCTATCAACAAAAATGTTCATGTATAAGTTTAGTCTTCCTTCATTACGCAACTAATTGATTTAACTGTTTTTTAACTCAGAATATTCATAATGAAACAAAATCAATTAATATGTGTTTATTATTAGACAAAAAATAATTTCAATAGTTGAAATCATTAGTCAATTGAAGCTAGACCACCATGAAAAACCTGGAAGCACTGGACGGTTGTTTCGTCCTAGTATGGAATATTAACACCGTTGGATGCCGGCTAGCTCAGTGATCTAGTGATTAAGCGCTTGCACGTGAGACTAATAGGTCCTGGGTTCGAACCTCGCTGGGTGCGGGATCATGAATGCGCCTTGTTGAGGAGCCCCATAATGGAACGAAAAGCCCGTCCAGTGCTTTCACGTTTTTCATGGTGGTCTAGCTTGAGTTGACTCATGATTTCAACTATTGAAATTACTAAAATCTCCACAAAATCCCTTCTGATAAAAAAATAATTTAACCAACTTTGATAAGTTGTCCTTCTCGAAATGGTAATTCTTCTTGTGCACCATCAATATTTGGTGACATAGTAGTTGGATCATAATCATACAGGGCTACTACAACTTGTATTGGTTTCAATTCACTATGGCCCATTCGATTTGAATAATCATCATTAATGTCTAAATAGAAATTAAAGTGAATAGGAAATGTGTATAACAGTAAAATTAAATGCGTCATTACGATTAAAGTATAATGAGTATCTTTTTAAGCAAAGATGGATAGTGGCTGGCAGTGAAATCCAGAAAGCGCGTTTCGTCCTATTAGGGACTCGTCAGCCGGATGTACCTGCATCAATGCTAGCCACTATCCATACTTGCTTATAAAGCTTGTGACTTAAAGCTATATCGAGGCATTCCGTACAAGACGCACATACGCCAACATGAAACTGATCAATCGCAGTTCTATATAACAATGAGAAAATACAAGTAGAACAACGAGTGAATATAATGAGAATCGTTGAAATTTCATTCTTATTTTGAACTGTTTGAAAATTAACGCCTATCACTTGTATATAAGATCAAACCCTAGATCCTCTGTTAATAAATGTCTGTACAGTTTTCCTTTAATGTTGAATAAATAAACCAGAAGGGATTTTCGCGGATATTATAATAATTTCAATGATTGAACTCATCAGTCAATTCAAGCTAGACCACTATGGAAAACTTGGAAGGACTGGACGGTCGTTTCATACTATTGTGAGACTCCTCAGTAGTACGCATCCACGATCTTACCTCACGAGATTCCAACCCAGAACCTACCAGTCTCGCTCACGAACGCCTAATCTCCAGACTATTGAGCCGGCTGGCATTCAGTGGTGTTTATGTCTAACTTCGAAGAATCCACGATATTGAGCGACACATCCACCATTGTCTTCAGTGAGTTAATATCTCACAATAGACCCAGTTAAACTTCACTGATCACCGCTTCTCACTAGAACTCCAGGAAATAATTCTTGAATTCAGTCACTAGTGAACATATGTTGATTAGTATCAGAAGGGGTTTTTGTGGATATTATAGTAATTTCAATAGTTGAGATCATGAATCAATTGAAGCTAAACCATCATGGAAAACCTGGAAGAACTAGAAGGCCGTGTCGTCTTAGTATCAGACTCCTCAATATTGCGCATCCACGATCCCGCCTCACGAGATTCGAACACAAGTTCTTTCAGTCTCGCAATAAATATACGTCTTGATCTTTTAGTTCATTATAATATTAAATATAGAAGGTCTTTAGTATTGCCATAAATGTTAAGTAAAAAGGAGTTTCAAAACTCAAATAAGATAAATACGGTTTAACCTGTACGTCCTAATGTTCTGTAAATGTTCTTTGGGAAACATAGTAAAGAAGACAGGTGCTTACAATGGGTCTAACTTTACAGATTTGTTAATCATCTCATTACCTGATGGTTCTGTAGAAACATTTCACTAAACCGGATATAATTACGGTTATATTAAGTGGACGTTAAGCTTTATATATCCCCATAGCTTTAGAGATTAAACGTTGATGAAATACACCAATACATTAGGTAAAACCAGTCAAATTTACTGTTAATTCAAAGCAACTTAACTTGTATATTTAAATGTAAATGTGCTTTTGGTGTATGTTACTTATGTTTATAGATATAAGTAGTATGTAACATTAGTCGGAAGTGGAGTGTTTGAGAGCACAAGGTTTAGAAGATGTAAATGAAGAGAAGAAAAGTGGAAACGGAAAGCAATCAAGATAACAACAGAAATGAAGGAACCGTATCTGGGTAGCATCATCGATGAACGCAAAAAATCTGTTGCAAACTTAAAGGTGAGAATTTGCAAAGCAAGGAACGCATTCATACAGTTGAAGAACATAGGGAATTCGAAATAACTGTCAACCAATATCAAAACCAGAATCTTCAATGCGAATGTCAAGACAGTTCTACTGTATGGAGCTGAAACTTAGAGGACTACTGCAATCACTATCAAAAGGGTACAAGTATTTACAAACAATCGTCTACGTAAGATACTGAATGTTCGTTGGCTGGATATTATCGGCAAAAACGTACTGTGGGAAAGAATAAACCAACTTCCAGCTGAGGAAGAAATTAGGAAAAGACTTTGGAGTTCGATAAGGGTCACACTGAGAAAATGATCAAATTGCATTGCGAGGCAAGTGCTAACTTGAAATCTCTAAGGCAAAATAAAAAAAGACAGACCAAAGAACACATAGCATCGTGAATTGGAGGCAGCCTATGCTTCTTCATAAGGGGTAAGAGGCGTCAGTGCCAAAGTGTATAGTTTGTCATTGCTCATACAGATTTCTGATCATAACTGTGATCACATATCCCCATAGGCAATACATATATATATACATATCACTGTTCACACAAAATAATTAACTTCTACTACACTTCCGAAGTGTTGTAGTAATTCAATAAAACACTGATAGTAAATTCAGTATCGTTGTTAGTAAGCAGTCATTAATGTTTATCTAATGATACCATGTTTAATTTGTTCATGATAAGTAACTGTTTAGATTGATTACCATTCTGATGAGCTTAGATAAACTGCTAAATCAATACAAGAAAGTATAAGGTGTATAAAATGTTTAAGTGCTTAAACTACATTACCAACTATTCCAGTGTCAGTAGTTGAGATCATAAGTCAATAGAAGCTAGGCCACCATAGAAAACCTGGGAACACTAGATGGCCGTTTCGTCCCATTGTGGGACTCCTCATCAGTGTCTTTTTTCACAGAGAAAACGAAGTTGAGATATTTCAGACATTTTTTATGAATGTATAACTAAACAATGGTAGATTGTGATCACATATAACATCGGATCAAATTATAAAAGTTCACTTGTTAAAAGATTGATAGGATATCTAAAATTTTTAAGGATAAATTGCTGTGTCATTGAGTTTAAATAATTAAAATGGGTAATAGTAATTCTTACTTCTTTGATTTCTGCCATATTGTTGTTCATTTTGTACAAATGATTTACTTGATCGTGAATATTGTGATCCGACTGCTTGTCTTAAACCACTTCCTTGTTCGCCTGATCTACAGTTTTTCATGTTGACTTGATTAAATGGAGGTCTGTATTCATGTTGAGGTATTGGACCGGATGCTGGTGATGGTATGTTATAATGAAACGGTCTCTTCGGTCCAGATGTATATGTATCTGATGGTATTACAGGACGTGGATAGTCAGGATCATGACGTGTTGTTGAGAAGTTAGAAACGCTCATCTGTGGATCATATGAACCATGTCGTCTGGTATCCATAAAACGAGATCGAATAGGTCTAGTTGGTCCACGAAAATCCTGGTAGGAATATCGTGACTGTTGTTGATAGTGATCATTTGCTTGGAATTGAGGTTCATTGTCTGATAAGCTACTATTCCGTGTTATTTCTGAGTAATAGAAAATAAAGAAATAAATATTGATTTGAAAATGACTTTTTAGACAATTTCCAGCCTAATGCATCAATTATTATTCACTTTATAAGGGATCAGTAATATATAGAAAAACTGATAAAACATTGCGTAAAATATTTTAATTTTATCTATGTAACATCTGATCAGCTTCATCTTCAATAGGTTTATTCAGATTGTCTTAGACACGATGAGTTGAGCCGTTAACTGCGAATGCCATCACGAATTGGGCTTGCTCTCATTCAAATGAAAAAGGAAGAGAGGTAGTCTTATCTTGGTTACTATATAACTGAAGTCATTTCAGAGATGGGAACTTAAGGGACAACTGCAGAAATATTTCTCATAAAAAATGTATAACCACATGTCTTTATCATAAGAGAACTGCATTCTTCAATGATATGTCAGCTAACGCAATCATAGCTCATTTAGTAGTCATCAAAGAAAGGAGGATAGAAAATTGTCTATATTATGATCAATGTCCATCTCTAGCTTGAGTCTTGGATAAACTCACTGAACAGTTTGCTATTTCATCAACTGATTTCATATACTTCTCTCAAATTTTCACAAGGTATACCTAATCAAACGATAGTTTGGTGACATGACTAAAGACGGTACTAATAATCCATTAATGTGAATAAACTAGCTCATCTTCCCACATAATTTTACCAACTTTCAACTACCTGTCAGTTCCACTAGGACTACTGCAGCCAAATTGGACTCACCAGGACCACAACATCAAAGTATGGTGGTAAATGAATGAAATAGTTTATATTAGGTCTTCAAGAGCGTCATGGGTAGTAAAAACTATTAGTATAGAAATCTATTTCATTTGGAATTCTACATAGCTAAAGATTTTGAACTCTACCGTTCAACTATGATGAGAGGTCCAAATTACCAATCATAAGTGTTTATTATTTGAAAAAAAGTATCGCTTATATCAGCGATGACTGATGACGAAAATAATTGTGTGACAGTTTCTCTTTTGAATACTATAATATTGTGTTGTGTGCTACTGATGCCCCCCTGCCCCTCTTCCCCCCTTCCAGCCAAACAAGTTGATGAAGCCTAGTGAGCCCTTCTGGAGAGAAACAGGCCACATCAAAGCACGGCTCGACTACCGGGACTATAATTGGTTGTTTCTGCAAACATTTGGAGTTTGCCCAATGACGAGCAACTCCCTATGATACATGCACCACTTTCGAGAAAACTTTTTGTCTTTTTCCATACCAAATATAGTTGTGCTATGTTTATCTGTGGAGTTCGTAATCATTTGCTGGGTATAGGTAAGAGTGGGTGATTAGCCCGATCTCCACCACCCGGGATGTCGCTCACGTTAGTTCATGGGTCATTTGTCTCATTATCCAGGAGGCACGACGCGGACATGTGAGTCGGATTTTGCCTGATGTCAACAGATATAAGTAGTATGTATCATCAATCGAAAATGAAATGCCTGGAGAAAGAATGCTCAGGAGATAGAAGAAAAGACAATGAGAACTGAGAGTGATTGATGTGCTGAAAACATCTTGTATTAGAAGAAAACAACTCTTCAGTGTCTCCTAACTTTTAATAGTTATCTAGTTAAAGTCAGTTTATGGTACAAAAATACAAATGTTTAACTCAACAATATATCTAATGTATTACTGATCTATACCCTAATTGAATTTAATATCAAGTCAGCAATCAAATACAAACATGAAATTATATGGTATAATTCAATTTGAACAAACATTCGAGAGTATATTTCAGCTTAATTTTATAAAGGTGAATATTTAACTGATTGTAATTACTCTGTTAACATAAATTGAATTCATCCAAAATCTAGGGTTGTTTTCTTAGTCTTTAGCTATTAAAAAGAACGGAAACTTCTAAGTGATCATGAGACGAAGATTGACCTAGAATACCCTGATATGGTTGAAGGTGGTGAAGTTTCGCTCTCCTTCTCACATAGCCTCATGTATACAATCTATATCAGGGAAGTCCTACTTACTGCCTTCTCGTCGTAGAAGTATTGTTTATGAAATTCAGAGAATGAAAAGAGAATATTTGGCTCTTTGACCGGATCGATCGATACGATGGGTTTATCTAGTAGAGTTAAAAAACTCTGATTTCAAACCAATGGTACACATGGGCTCCAAGACCCTGAAGGAATAAAAGGCGTATGAATCTATTGCTGGTCACCGGTTACCACTAGACTACGTCCCTCAACGTTGATCCACTACCTTGTGGATAAGACCTCGAGGTCAAAGGTTCTGGGCGCAGCCCTTTAGGGAAACCATCTGCTTTAGATTAGGCATCTGAGTAGTATTCCAGTTGTCACACAAATCGGATGACGAAGTGTGGCGTATATATGTTTGGTGCCTCCTTGAACCAACCTCTATGTATTTAAATGATAATAATGACTAATCGATGGAGACTGAATTGTGGATGCAAAATAAGTATTCTATCTTTGTCTTCACAGTATAATTGGCCCCAAGTGCCCTGGTACTGTTGAGAGTGGAGACAGTCCTCTCTCTATCTCGAAATATATACGCAGTATTTGCATATGATGCCTAGTTTATAATTTCCTATTCTCTTGACTTTTATTCATAAATGTTTCCTAAAGATAAAAACAATGTCTTAAGCAATTCCACATATACGGTTATACAATTTGATAATCATTCCATAGAAAAATAATGGGATCTTTTCACTGAATTTTTTTGGTATTTTTAACATTATGAATATTTGAATAATAGTTTCTAATAATTGAATTCATGAATCAATTAAATTTAGATCACTATGGAAAACCTAGAAGCATTAGACAGCTGATTTGTCTTAGTATGGGACTTCTCAGCAGTGTTCATCCACGATCATGCACGTGAGACTAAAACCCAGGACTTTCAATCTAACAGATGAATGCCTAACCTTTAGACCACTGAGGCGACCGGCATTCAATGGTGTTAATTTCTAAATTCAAACAATCTACGATATTTTGCCACCCCTCACCATTTCTTTCAGTGAGTAACAGCCTCTACAACAGATACGGTTGAAGTATATTGGCCACAGCTTCCCACTAGAGTTCCAGGAAATACCCCATGAAGTCATTCACTAGTGAGCACATGATTATTGTCAGGATGGGATTATGTGGATATTGCAGTAGCTTTTAATAGTTGAATTCACGACTCGTAGAACTTCGTACGTGCGTACATCAGTTCGAGTTGTCATACCACATTAACACACACATACAATTGTCGATCCAAATCCTGTAGTGGTAGAGGTAGTGAAAGTATAAGCAGTAATCTGAAAGATTAGGGCTTGAAGATGTTATTCAAGGAGTATGATCCAGTGAAATAAATTTGGAAAGAGAAAAATAGAGACAAGGAAAATTCAGAAGATTGGAATTTGGGAGAACACAAAGAGTTGATGCAACTATGCCTTTACAAACGATTTTCAGCCATGTCACATTCAAGGTTTCTAACCATCGGTTGCTATCATCTCGCAGATCTCAATCAGATAGTCTACACCTACCAACATGACTCAGTCCTCTTGTCAATTACTTCATGGATTTGTGTCATGTTTTGTTGTGGTCGCCCTTAGTTTTCCTCCAACCTACTCTTATACCATTGAACATCGCACGTCGGGACAGATACAGGTACATACAGGACGAAACGTGGGTCCTGGATTCCACTGCTGGCTATTATCCATCTTTGCTTAAAAAGTTTATGGCTTAAAGGTATATCAAGGTAATCCGTACGGAATGCACATATAACAATAAGAGAGTGATCAATCGCAGTCTTAAATGACAATCGGAAGATCAAAACAAACAATACCAAGTGAATTTAAAACGTCACCCCATTACACTAGTACGTCGTTATCAGGACTCAATAGATATGTGGATAACGTGACGGAGTTTGGAACTCAACAGTACTGGGTTAGAATCCTAGAGTGAATATCAACTCTGAAATACAGGTATATCCAGCTGACGAGTCCCAACTAAGACGAAATGCCCATCCTGGACTCCATTGTTAGCTACATTAGATCTTTGTTAATCATTCGTGCAATATACGACTATTTTATGATATTTTCTTTACTTTAGTTTTTATCATATACGTTATTTGAAACTATGAATGATGGGTTAATCTTTTATAATTACAAGATAATAGTCGATGAAATAAAACCATACTACTTAATTATATATCAAAACTCTATTGATTACATTCTAAATAGAACCTGATACACATGTATATTAGTCCACGTTTTCACATAATATCAGTACAGTGAGATAAAGTTATCAAGATATATGTCACAGTAATAGAAGTAGTAGTAACAGTGTTAGTGGTAGTAAGAAACACTGTGTAGATTATATGATTCAAAAAGGAAGAATGAACTTAAAGAATACAAAGTATACGATAATTTTATAACTCGTAATGTGAAGGGACGAAAGAGTGATCAAGATCACTAGGCGAACGTCAATTAATCAACCGGGTATGTTGTGAGACAGTAACTCAATGAATAAGATGATAGACGGTGATGAAATTTCATGGATTGGTTGAAGTTAATCAATAACACCGTTGGATGCTTGCTCAGTGGTTTAGAAGTTAAGCACTCGAACGAAAGACCGAAGATCCTGAGTATGAATCCCTAGAGTGGTGTCATGAATGCACACCGCTGACGAGTTCCATACTAAAAAAACGACTGTTCAGTGTTCTAGGATTTTCAATGGTGATCTAGCTTTAGTTGATTCATGAATTCAACTATAAAATCCTTTATGAGCATATCTTCTGTGAGTTTAATCATTAAATAATTAGTAATTAGCATTATCCAATGTTTTGTTCAGTAAACTTGTCAGAATTTTTATCAGAGTAATAAAGAGGAGCAAAGTTACCAAAGACAATGTATTGAATTCTGATAATGAGATGAAGTGAATGTGTTGAGTGTGTGTCGAATATGAATATATGGACACGAGATTTCAGAATATCTCACTGAAGTCTGAGAACCATACAGTAAATAATCAATTTATATCAATCCATTGTCTCAGATTTCGTTGTTCTTACATTTTCATACTAATTGCCTTCGGTTTCTGTTCTTTCCTTATCGATCTTCTACTGAAATACATTCTATCGTTATATACTACTTATGTGGATATAAGTAGCTCACACCACACTCATATAATTCAGTAGTAATAACTTAGAATGTGAAACAATCTAATGCAAGAAAAATGTCTTCAATATTAGAAAAAAACACTTTAACGATGTAGCGGTGTTAAAACGCATCGAGTCTAGATCATGATTATAGTGTTTATTGTTAATGATTATTACTCTTTTTTAAGTTACTTACATAGTTGAATTCATCAGTCAATTAAAGTTAGACCATCATGGAAAACTTTTCAAGCACTAGATGTCTGTTTCGTCTTAGTAAGGGACTCCTTAGCAATGCGCATCCTTGATCCCGCCACGCGAGATTCGATTCCAATCATACTCATGTATCTGAACTTGATATAATATAAGCATTACAAACATACATAATTGACAACATGAAATAGTATATACTTACGTATTTCCGGTAATGAGAGATTTTCATGAGGATTAACATGGCCAGAATAATACTGTTTGTTTGAAAAAAGAAATATGGATAAAGAACTCAGATAAGTCATGCATAAACTGAGTAATAGAATGTTGTAAATTCATTAGACACATCTAACAAACATGCATGTGATATTATTAACATGAATAAAAATGTCATGTGCACAAATACAACAACAGTAAGATGTAAAAAGCGCTGAAAATGGATAGGACACATATTGAGGAAAGCACCCTACTACGTCACAACACAAGCCGTTAAATATGGAATCCTTAAGGCTAAAGGAATAGAGGAAGACCGAACAACACATAACCCCGAGAAATGGAGACAAATATAAAAAGAGTGAACAAAATTTGGATAGAACTGATAAGGAAGGCTCAGGACAGAGTGAGTTGGAGAACGCTGATTAGTGGCTTATGCTCCATTGGGAGTAAAAGGAGTAAGTGACTAAATAATTGTAATTAGGATCATAAACTGATCAATATTAGAACATTATTGAAAACATGGAAGCACTGGACGATCATTTTATTCTATGGATCCATTTTGAGTTGTTATAAATTTATAAATTGTTACTTAAAATAAAAGTATCACATAGTAACAAAGGAAAACCATTGTGAAAAAAATATAGGTACAATTCAATTATGTTTCTCTAACTAACCATGGAATAATCTTAATAGTTGAAATCATGTATCATTTGAAGCTAGACCATCATGGAAAACCCAAACGTACTGGATAGTCGTCTCATCGTATTGTGGGACTCCTCAACAATGCGCATTCATGATCCCGCTTCGCAAGATTCGAAACTAGATAGTCCGCGTCGGATAGAGACAAGTATCTACCTCAGATGATGGAAGATGATCACGCAATTTTATGGACTGGTTGAGGTTAGACATTAACACACTAACCAGCTCAATGGTCTAGAATGAGAATGAAGGCCCTGGGTTCGAATCCTGCGAGCAGGTTCATGGCTACTCACTGATAAAGTGTCCCACAATAGGATAAAATGGCCATCCATTAGTCTAGCTTCAAGTGAATCATGAAATCAACTATTAAAATTACTACAATATTCAAAAAAATCCTTTCTGATACTGCATTTAAACCAACGACAACAACAACAACAACAACAGCGACAACGACAACCAATACTGATGAGTGTAATTTACAATAGAAAACTTCAAGACAACAATTAGTTTCTAAGTGATTCCTTCTATTTTTTTTTATTACCCTATCTTTAATTGACCATTGTTGATGTTCAATTCCTAATGGTAATGGACGATAATATTTAGATCTTTTATGAATCGGTCTTTTTGATATAATATAATCGATTTCTTTATTTCTAGGTGAATATATAGATCTATTCAATTTATGTAATTGTTTAGGACTTGTACTATGACTTCTTATATTTATGGAATACGGTTTAGGGTATACAACTTGATTCATATAATTTTGTTGATTCACTTTTATTCTATTTAAATATCTTTCATCATCATCATCATCATCATGATTATTATTATTAGATGATGAAGATATTATTGGATATTGATTATTGATATATTGATTAAATAAACGTTTTGATTGATGTTTTGGTGATATTCTTCCATGATAAGTATAACTTTTAAATGATTTTGGATCATTATATAAATGTTGAGTTTTATAAAGAGGATACATTTTATCATTGTGATTATAAAAATAATGTATATGTTTATTCGATTGAATTCTATCCCTTTTATTAAATTGTCCTAATGAATTATAATATTCATATGGATAAGATTTATTTAAATGATGCCTTAATACACCACGTGGTTTCCATTGACGATTTGGATAATCCGCTGTTAAATTATATGAGGATGATGTACGAAACCATTGATGATTATTATGATTGGATATTATTGATGTATCACTTGATATAGAACTATTGAATGATCCTTCATGATCACTATTATAATAATAATGATGATCTTTTATATTATTTAAGTCATAATCATCTGATATGGATCTAGTTTGATCAAATTTTGATTTTATTTCTTGTAAATGATATGGATTATCAAATTTGGAATATTGATTATATTGATTTATTGATGATTTTTGTATAGATGATATATTTTGATTAGAATGATTTATTTTAGTTAATGGATCATGATCATCATGATCATTAATATCGTCTTTTAACTCTTGTTTTTCTAACTTACGACGAAGTAATAAGGCCTAAATTAAAACAAAAAAATTTTCAATAATAAATCAATATTAGAAAAATCGATATTGATTAGACGGATTCGTTTGATTCCAGTCGTTGAAGGTAAAATTGACTTCAAATCATATATGTATATGTATATACTAAGCTTATTTTGTTTGAAACAGTAAGTACAATGAATGGAATGAGCTAATCGATTAGTGGTATATTGATGAAGACTTCAACATCTGGAGGGTAGGGCGAAAGCATGGGATACAGTGGACAGCTAAGTTGCAGCTATACGATTTAGACATCGTAGATGATCTAGCTTTTCTATCACATACGCAACAACAAATGCAGGAGAAAATGACCAATGTAGCAGAAGCCCCAGCAATAGTAGGTCTCATTATACACAAAGGAAAAAGTAAGATTCTCCAATACAACCCAGCATGCAACAACCGAATGGCACTTGATAGAGAAGATTCGGAAGATGTAAAATCTCTAACATATCTGAGCGGCATCGTTGTTGAACGCAGTGGATCTGATGCAGATGTGAAGGCGCAGATCGGGAAAGCAAGAACAGCATATTTACAATTGAAGAACACCTGTAACTCAAAACAACTGTTTGTCAACCAACACCAAAGTCAGAATTTTCAATATAAATGTCAAGACAATTCTACTGTATGTGATGGAAACCTGGAGGACTACAAAAGCCATCATCTACAAGATACAGGTGTTTATTAACATCTGTCTACGCAAAATACTTCGGATCTCTTGGTAAGACATTGCACTATCAGCAACAACCTACTGTGTGAGAAAACAAACAACATTCCAGAGGAGGAAGAAATCAGGAAGAGGTGTTGGAAGTGGATAGGACACACTTTGAGGAAAGCACCGAACTGCATCAGAACACAAGTCCTCACATTGAATCCTGAAGGCCAAAGGAGGAGAGGAGGACCAACGAACACATTAGGCTGAGAAATGAAGACAGGCATAGGAAGAAGAATCGACAAAAATTGGATGGAACTGGAAAGCAAGGCTCAAGACAGAGTTGATTGGTGGCCTATGCTCCATTGTGAGTAACAGGCCTAAGGAACAAAGTATACATGTGGTGTATGCTATTTATGTCGACAGATATAAATAGTATGTAACACTAGTCAGAAGTGGAACGTCTGGGAGTAGAACGTTGAGAAGATCAAATTGAAGGAAATAGGAATTTAAAAGAGAGTAATCGTAATAACAACAAGATTGAAGGAATGATGGGGTTTCTAAGAGGCAACAGCTGATGAAAGATATGCAAATAACCTAGATAATATATGTTTATTTTATTTTGTGAAAGTATTCTATAATTCTGCATTAAACAGTAAATAACTTGTGGACTTTTACCCTACTAATATATATTATGTAATGATATCACCAACTACAGAACAGTGACTTATCGACTGGACCAATGGTGTATAAACCCGTACGAGCAGTTAAGAGTCCTTGTCGGTCCTTCTTCCTTTGCAGCTCTGCCTATTGTGTCCAGAACATCAACCTCAACCTTCTTGATATGAATCATGTATTTCAAACATACTGGGTTTATATACAAACCAAACAGACCACATCGTACCATAAAATGGAAAATAACATTTGTACAAGAACTAGCCAAAAGTGGCTGTAAATATGGGAGACTGTCATTAATTAACTGCGTATAACTTAAGAATAGTAAATCGTATAATAATAATCTATGTCTCAAAATGAAGCTTATATTAAGAGGAACACGAATATGAATAATTTATTTACTTAACAATTATACGACAATACAATGATATAATATTAATCCATAAATGGATCCCAACAGTTACTATTCATTATTCTCGTCGGGATATATTATATAGTTTTGATTGAGATCATGAACCGATTGATGTTAGACCACTATTTGAAACCTGGAAGCACTGAATGGTCGTTATGTCCTATTTCGGTACTCGTCAGCAGTGCGCATCCACAATCGCGCCTCACGGGATTCAAATCCAGGGTCTTCGGTCTCGCAAGCGAATGCTTAACCTCTAGACCACTAAGTTGGTCAGCATACAACAGTGTTAATGTCTAACTTCAAACAATCCATGAAATTACACGACCATTGTACTTAGATAGATACCTGTCTTTACCCGACACGGATTAGCCCCAAAAGAATAAATGATAGTAAGATGATCAAATATGTATTTTCGTTTTTGTTAATTCTATGCTTATATGTAAATAGGTGACAACCTATATATTTACAAAGATGAGCTGAAATATAAAGTTAAAAGTCAATGAACATTTTTTTTAAAGGTTCACAGTTTAGTTATATAATATACCCTTGTGGGCCAGGGTAATTTTACATTGGTTTTCAGGAGAACCAGACACCATCCGAACTTCCACGTAAAAACCCAAACAGTACAGCTCAACCCCGTTTAGCAGGGGAACCAGACACCGTACAGGCATTAGCGCTATAAGCTGAATAGTACAGCTCAATCCTGTGGCGCAACCACACAGGTACCAAGCACCCTGATGGACCATTTTTAAAGGTAGTTCGGTTATAAATAGAGTGAAGGAATTTAGTTGATGTTGCTTACTTGTATCTTCTTTGCTTATAAAGCTTGTGAATTAAGGCAATATAGATGAGATACGCACTGTATGCACATGTCCCAATAAGAGACTGATCAATTGCAGTTCTAAATAACAATGATAAGATATAAATAAACAATACCAAGTTAATTTAAACCTTCACCCCATTGCAAAAGTACGTGGCTATCAGGACTCAGTAGCTAAGTGGATAACACAATGACATTTGAAGCGAAAAACACTGGGTTCGATTCTCGGAGTGAACATCAACTTTGAGATACAGGTACATCAGCTGACGAGTCCCGAACAAAATGAAACGGACTTCTTGGGTTCCACTGCTAGGCGCTATTCATGTTTGCTTATAGAGTGAAGAAATAATTTTTTCTTAATTGACTTTATATAATTGTAATATAAGTTGAAATTTTGATTATTAAATCAATACTGGTTAAGATGTTTCACCCTATATCTGACTCCAATGAAAATATATAATGATTATTATCAAAATATACATCATGGCTGCTCTTGTATATAAACATCGACTTAAGTTGCGTTCGGCAAATAAGTCAAATATGAGAATGAATTTTTGAATACGTATATTCTATACAAACGTTGATTCAGATAGACAATCAAAGAAACGATGCTAAACAATACAGTAAAGAATGCAATTGAGCCAACTTCATTTGATAAAGCGTAAATCAATATTTATATTTTCAGACGAAAATAAACTGCAGATAGGTAATAAATATGGTATGCAATTAACATATAAGATCATATAAAAAACACTCAGGGTTAATAATCGAATAAGTAATAAGGCCAAAATGTGACTTGAGAAGGATGAATGGATAGATTTGTTCAAAATTTAGAATAACCCTATGTGTGATTGATATAGTATCAATCATTACACCATTGAATGCTGGTACAGTGGTCTAGAGGTTGAGCAGGATCGTGGATGCGCACTGCTGAGGAGTCCCACAATAGGACAAAACGACCGTCCAGTGCTTCCAAGTTTTCAATGGTGGTCTAACATCAATCAGTTCATGATCTCATTCAAAAACTTAATAGTTTCCACAATCACATACTGATAAAACAGATCATACAAGAAGTTATACTGATATCATAAGTATGATAACCCCAAATGTTTACTTTTATAAGTTATATTATTTCTGAAGGTGTTGTTTCTGTACGTTTGACATCTTTAACTTTTACATATTGGATTAATCTTATACAATTGAATAGTTATGTATAACTGACAAGTACCGTTTTAGCTGAATCAAAAGGTTATAGTGGATTGTGAATGCTTGAAAAAAATTTGATGAAACAACAGCTTTTATTTTATAATCACAATCATGTTTTATAAAACACTGTTTTAATCGCTAATGGGACTAGTTTTTTTACAATTGATTGATTACTGGGTGATGATCAATGTCATGTATGTCAGGTCCTTCTTAGGGCAGATCGAATCCTACTGACCATGTTGCAATATGGTCACCTGTCTAGGTGAATCGGCATTGCGTGTATTATACTGAGATAAAATGGTGGTTGGAGGTAGTCAACAGGAAACCCTGGACTTGGGTTTCGTGCTACTTGGCAGTTATCAGCTGCTCGTTGACAATAGGATTTGATCTCCACTAAGAAGGATCTGACGTACATGATCAATCAATTGTAAATAAATCTCAGTCCTACAGGAGGTCAATCACGGTCCGGATAGCTCAGTGGTAACGTCTATGACTGTGAAACCAGGTGACACGGGATCGAATTTGTCAGGGAGCATCAGGTCCCTGAATATTACAGGTACACTATGCTGACGAGTGCTAAGTAGCACGAAACTTGAGTCTAGGGATTCCTGTCGACTACCTCCAACCACCATCTTACTAGTATTTTTTTTTACAAAAATAACCTTTAGAATGCCCACCTACGTATTAGGGTTAAATCAAGGTTATAAAGTTCTGTGAGGAATTAAGATTACGATTTATAATTGGATGTTAGAGCGAGGAATCAATTTTAATGTTTTCATTATGAACTGACATTAGCTATAATACCAAAGTGCTATTTGACCAAATGGATGAATAAATATTATGCCAAAATCCAAAGCATGTTATCTTAATTTTGAAAAGAGCAAGAACAAAGATTCTAGCAGAATAACATGAATTCATTTTATTTCGTAGGTTCTCGTCAGCTGCTTACAACCTATAGTATTTAAAAAAGATAATAATTACATAATGGGTTTGAATTGCTTACATGAGAGGGTTTATATTTAAGAAATATTCGTAAAGTATGACATAGGTGTAAATGAAATTAATAGGCTGAATATTGTAAATATATACCTAATGTGAAAGAATATTCTACAGCATTAATTGTGACAACAGTTCAAAAGTGGGTTAGAAACAATTGATTACATAATGAATAAACATTGATAGGAATATAGTGAGTAGAGTTCAGTTGAAAGATTATTCATTTGAAAGATAGTTAAAAAATAAAATCAATGATATAATATATATAAAAGATTTAAGGTGCAGTGAAACAATATTTGTCACCAAGGTAAGGAAAGATTAACAACCGTCTGCTTTTGAATACATAGGTCAGTTTTTTTATGCCTGATAGCAACGGCTTCAGCCAACTTCAGAAGACTGGAGTTTGGCTGCTTACTAATAACCTTGAATGATTGTAGGGTGTCAACCTGATGGCCTGTGCCAAGCAGATGTTTAGTGATTGCGCTACTTAGAGTCTTTCTTCCTCTTGTTCTGAGGTTTTTTGGAACATGTTCAAAAAATCTGAGATATGCCCTCCTTTCTGTTCGGCCAATGTAGCTGCTTTGGCAGGTACATTTAAATAAATACAGTTGGCGGTAACATGAAAAGGATGCTTATCAACCTTTGATTGAGTTAATGAACATGTTGTTTTATAAAGAATTTGAAGTTTGGCCGCCGGATAGGTTCTGGCTAGCGCAGTATTCAGTCTCCTGTTGATTATGTTTGCAACCTCGTCACCTTTGAAGTTTAGACTTATAGTTATTGGTTTTTTATTGACAGTAATTACTTCAGTATTATTTTCTTTACGCTTTTTATATTTTTCAATAAACTTTTGTGGGTAATAGTTGTCTCGTAGGCATTTTTGTACGTTCATCAATTCTTCTTCCAGCTTATCAGTGGTACAAATCTTTTCTGCCCTATAAAATAGTGTTTTAACTAGTGCCTTCTTGTAGCTGAGTGGACAAAAATCTCAATACATAGTGCCCGCAGTGTCGAGTCACCTAGACTGGTGGCCACATTGCAACATGATCGATAGCATTCGATCTGCACTAATAAAGACTAGACAAGCATGACATTGATCACCACCCAGTGATCAATCAATTGTGATCAATGGTAACGTCTCTGACTGTGAAGCTGGGTGACACGGGATCGAATCCACCAGGGAGCGCCAGTTTCCTGAAGATTACAGGTACACCTTGCTGACGAGTGCGAAGTAGCACGAAACCCGGGTTCAGGGTTTCCTGTCGATTACCTCCAACCACCATCTAATCTCAATATATAGTGCACACAATGTCGGTTCACCTAGACTGGTGACCACATTGCAACTTGCTCGATAGCATTCGATCTGCACTAAATAAGGAATTGACATATATGACATTGATCACCACCCAGTGATCAGTCAATTATGATCTAGTCACATAAATTAACAGATAATAATAATAATAATAATAATAATAATAATAATAATAATAAACTGGTGGTTACATAATCACATATTAACTTACATGGACTTATTGTATGTGAGCCAATTAATGGATACAAATGAAATTACTTAACAGATAAAACAATTTAATTGTAATCATAATTATTATTATGTCATAGAATGATTACTTTCTTTCGGTAACTAGTATCTTCTGTATATAAAATCATAAATACTGTTAAAAGTAACTTCAACTATAAGCTGATTTGAACTTTTAACGTGAAGTTTATATTGATTGCACTTCTTGGTTATGCAATCAGTCATATAAATTTATCTCAGTATAGGGGTTGTGGAGATTATTAAGTTTTTGATTGAGATCATGAACTGATTGATGTTAGACCACCATTGAAAACCTGGAAGCACTGGACGGTCGTTTTGTCCTATTGTGGGACTCCTCAGCAGTGTGCAACCACGACCCCACTCGCGAAATTCGAATCCAAGGCCTCCAGTCTCGATTCATTTCAAGTTCATGAATTAAAGTATTCTAAATAGTTAACTGTATTTGTATTTATATGAACTATGAGGGATATATGATCAACAGTTTGATATGATTGATAACAATATTGTAGATTGTTCATGGACTTATGGAATTAAGTTCAGTATTATTAGATTTACATATTCACTTTAAGGAGTTGTTCAATTAAGCTGATAATGTAAGTAAAGTAAGTGACATTTTGATAAATGCATAATTTATCTTTATGCATGTAAGCAGTAAACTATTAAAGTACATGGTAGGTTAAAAAGAGTCATGTTGTTAAATTTAAGAGTTACCTTAAGAATACTTGGTCGAGGTCCGCGTGACTATCGTAACCAATGGTTGGAGACTGTGGGTAACATGGCTCAGAATCGATCACAATGGTGTAGGTGTATACACTCTCTGTCTTCCCTTAAACTAAGAGATTAAAATCACTTCATATCTTTCTTTCTACCAACTAATTCTTTATTCCTGTACTACATCCTTATACACAATCTTTGTTTTATATATTACGACCACTGAATTAACTACTTCTATGATTCCGGTGTTCATCTTGTTGTGCTTATGAGGTGTGGCAACTTGGACCGATGGATGTAAGTGCCTGTTCCTACGTTGTAGCTGACTGACTGACTGACTGACTGAAATATGCAATTCAATGTCAACTAGATATGAAGTAATGAAGATCATTCTTTTCCTCATGTAACGTCCTAATGAGAAATAGGTGAAGGAACATTTAACTAGTCCTTTGGTCATTGCGTTTATCTTCAAGTAAAATGAATTGAGTTCAAATCTTGTCACGAACTACAATACTGGAATGCATGTGTATGCATCTGACGAGTCTCATTTGAGATGTAACTGCTAGTCATAATCTTTCTATTTTGGCCTGATATTAACAGTTAGAACTAGTTTCTTTGATGAACCAACAAAGGAAGACACCTTTGAATTGTTCATAAACAAACTAATCACTTAGATTCAGCACTATTATATATTTCCTGTTTTAATACTCCTCCTCCGTACTACCAGATAATTCAAACAGCTTTGAAAAAGAAGGAAGTATATATTTTTTTTAAAAGTTTATATAATGAAGACTTACTTCAGCTGAACCTAAAGCATCAGCTGTTGGACTAGGTTTACGTACAACATTTTCAGCTGATACAACTAATAATCCATGATCTTCATCTGAATTGATATTTTCCACGTTTTGATTATTTGCTCGTGTAGTTGTCTCTTGTAAACCATCAAGTGATAAAGATACACCAGCTAGTTTAGCTGTATTTTCATTCTATGGTATAAATATTATAGAAATAATGAATGAGTTAATTAATTTATTAAAGAAATATGAAGGAAGAATACAAAAATCTTAGTTCTTATTGTTATAACTTGTCAATTGAATGCTGCTTGTTATATCTGGTCGTCGCTGGTTGTTATGTCGGAAACGTTTATCACTTAAACTCGGAACGAGGCACCTCTACAATTCCAACAACGCGAAAGTAAGAACTCAAAGACCGGTATAAGTGATTTATTGACCCCCAAAACACGACGACGACGACCTTGGTCGGAAATATACTCATTGTACACCCATTTTGATTAATAATTAGAATGGAATCACATATATGAGAAATCACATACTGAGCATAGTTCATGTCAATTGAATACAAGAATATCGTCCTAGGTTTGGATCTCGCGGGAGGGGGGGTCGTGGGTGCGCACTGCTAAGAAGTCCCATACTAGGACGAAAAGGCCGTCCAGTGCTTCTAGGTTTTCCATGGTGGTCTAGCTTCAATTGACTGATGATTTCTTCTATTGAAATATCGTATATTATACAGAATAAAATATCACACGGGGAAACAAACACGAATACTACACCGAATGGTCGTCACATTGAATCAGAACGGAATCCATGTTGAATAAAACTCGTAATAAGTAAATCAATCGAATTTTGACCTTTCTTTCCGTCATATCACTTACCATAGAATGACATCAATAGGAGAACTATTCAAAACTAGCAATACTGAATAACTGTTGAGATCTTCAATAATCCGCTATTACTACTTCCAAATAGGATTGATCTTGAGCAAGAAGAATATACAACATTATGTATTAGATTTCGGATCCAATAGTTTACATAGTTTGAAATTCAGATACTTAGTGACATTGCACAGTTATTGTCTAACATAATCTGCTATCAATTTAAACCACCAGGGTGTTGAACTCCAGTAGATACAGATTTAGAATGCCTATCTAATGATAGTTAATTATAAGACGAGGATCTATAGTATCATAATCTAAACCTGATGATACTTGATCCTGTTAAGTTAAAAAATACCATAAACTATGTTGATTTATTTAAAACTCTTTAATATATTTTTTATTATACAGTTACAAACGCTTATCGTCATTCAAAATGAATGTTTCCATGGCAAATATAAATAATTTTATTAGTTGAATTCATGAATCCATCCAAGCTAAACCATTATTGAAAACCTAAAATCACTAGAGAGCCATTCCGTTTTAGTATGGAACTCCTTAACAGTGAATATCCATGATCCCGCACCATAGGGATTCGAACCGAGGACCTTTGGTTTCGCATGTGAACGTTTTACCTCTAGACCCCTGAGTCATTATCCAACGGTTTTAAAGTCTAGATTCAATCGATTCATGATCATGCGTAACACTTCATCCATTGTCTGAGATAAATAACTGTCTTCACTGAATATGGATGGACTCTTATAGTAGGATGAAATGGACGTCTTGTTTCACAGTTGATTGATCACTGGGTGGTGATTAATGTCATGTAAGTCAAGTTCTTCTTAGTGCACATCGAACGCTATCAACTATGATTACATCTCAGTCCTACAGGAGGTAAGTCGCGGCCTGGATAGCTTAGTGTTAATGTCTCTAACTATGAAACTGGATGATACGGAGTCGAATCCATCAGGAAGCACCAGTTCCCTCAAGATTATAGGTACACCTTGCTGACGAGTGCCAAGTAGCACGAAACCCGGGTTCACGGACGTCTAATGTTTCCAGATTTTCAATGATGGTCAAGTTTAGATCATGTCATGAATTTAACTATTAAAATTAATCATAATTTGTTTATGTAATATTTATGTCATTTATATATATACACTCATATTTAATATAATTGTAAACAAAATCAAACTAATTAGACATACAATGAAAGAGTTTTGAATGTTTGAAAGGGATGATAATCAAAGAAAAACTACGAAAAAAACTGTTCACAATGAAAGATCTGGATGGAAAACAAACAACCAAACATAATATCAATGAATAAGAAGGATATATTGAATAAATGTGAAACAAAAAAGAACAATAGAGACAAGAAAGGCAAAAAAGAGCGAAAAAAACAAGTTAAGATGAACTCACAAAATAGAAAACAACAACGGTCGATTCATTTTGTAGTGAAAGTTCTATTCAAAGATTTATTTATTTATTTAAACACATAAATATTGGTACAAGGAACCAAAAAATAGATATGTGCCACGTAAATGATTCGATTTGTGTGGAGGCTAGGGTACTGTCCGATTGCCCAAACCGAAGCAGGTAGTTTTCTTAGAGAGTCACCCTTCGAGCCTTTGACCTAAAGGTCTGATTCATAAGGGAGTGGAGCATCGTAAAGAGATGCAGTCCCATGGTAGCTGATGACCAACGATTGGTTCATACACCATTTGTTCCTTCAGGATCCTGGAGCCCATGTCGATCATTGGTTTGAAATCAGGCTTTTTCAACTGCCTTAGGTGAATTCTCCGTGTCCACAAACCCGGTTGAAGCGCTCGACATTCTGTTTTCGTCCTCTGAATTTCGTAAACAACAGTGATGCCGCGAAAAGACAGTGAGTAGGACTTTCCTGGTAGTGGCTGTCTGCACGTGGCTATATGAGAGCATTTGCAAAGGGAGAGCGAACTCTCCTCACTCTCGGCCGTATCAGGGCATTTGGGGGCTATATTCGAAGATGATATACATATATGTCAATATTGATGAATAACTTTTAATTATGCAAATAGATACATGGTAATCACCCATAAAATTACAGAATTTGCATGAGAATAGCGCAAATTGGTTATAGTGCCGGTATAAATCTTTTTTTTTTCAATTATGTATTGGGTCGGTAATTTTTTGTCAAAGTTTGTCAGACTTAAATTCCTTCAAACGACTGAAGCAGTAGACATCCGAATGAAGAAAACTGAGTTATGTGTACAAAAGAAATATGCTCAACCGCTTCTCTTCCTCTGGCCAACGTCAAAGCCATTTAATCAATAGTAATTTTAGCTGTTGAATGACCTAATTTGATTATTATACTTACGAAATTTTGTAGTCAAATGTATTTTTCAGAAAGGGTTTTTGTAGATATTATAGTAATTTTATTAGTTGAGATCATGAGTCAATTTAAGTTAGACTACCATGGAAAACCTGGAAGCACTGGATGGCCGTTTCGTTCAAATATGGGACTCCTCAACCGTGAGCATCCACGATCCCCCTCACGAGATTCCAATCCAGAACCTATCGGTCTCGCGTACGAACGCTCAACTTTGAGACTATTGAGCTGGCCCGCATCTTATGGTGTTAGTGTCCAACTCCAACTAATCTACGAGGTTGACCGACACGTCCACCATTGTCTTCAGTGAGTTATTATCTCACAACAAACCCTATTGAACTCCGCTGACCACTGCTTCTCACCAGAACTCTCTGTTATCTTTATTCGCAAATCTTTATGTTATTATTATTATTATCATTATTAATCTCCTCAATACATGATTAATTTAGTTCTCATTCATCTCACCTTATTTTGTCTTACTAATTTTTCATACTATATAGTCCTTCACTAAATATTTGATCGAATTTATAATTGCACTATTATTTCTCTCATCCTATCTGATCCTTTATTTATTCTGATCATGGATCTTAAAATTTTCATTTAACAAGTTAACATTCCATTTGAGTTATATCAATATGAACAATTTTCTAAAATTCTATATTGTTTGGCAATCCTACAGTTCATATGGTTTAACTTTAAACGATATACTTTACCCCTTAACTTGATCATTCTTTTTGGGATTATTAATTTAGATATATGAGTTCGATTCTCATGAGGCAGAATCGTGGATGCGCACTGTTGAAAAATCCCATACTAAGACAAAACGATCGTCTAATACTTCCAACTTTTTCATGGTAGTCTAGCTTTAATGGATTGATGAATCCAACTATTAAAATTATTATAATATCTACAAAAAACCCTCTCTGATTAGAATGAATAACATTTAACAAACAATGGATCAAATCTATTAGATGATAGTTATAGATTGAATAATGTATTCCTAGTATTAGTTTGATATGGGTTCGAATCACGAAATTATTGATTGTAGATATACCACTACTGACAGATGACAATTTTCATGGAAAGAAATTTAGACGTCTTAAAAAAAGGATTCCTTTGAAATGGCAGATGTGAAATAAACAACAAAATGATATTGTGTAATTTGGACTAATGTTATTGGTCAAACTAGAATTTATGGACGAACCAATCAGATTTAAGGTAACAGGTTTTGGATTTCGGTGTGAAATTCACCCACCCATTGGGTCAAATAACGTTTTGGCATTTTAATTAATGTCAGGTAGTGATGAAAAACCATAAATCTGGTTTCTAACCTTAACTATCAACTGCAAATCATAATCTTAATTACCTTACACTGTTTTATAACCCTCATTTAACACAAGTAACTAGGTCGACACCCTCGAATGCCTCTTAGGGAGGTCTTACTCACTGCTTTTTCGCTGCAGAGATGTTGTTTGCTAAATTGATAGGACGAAAACAGCATGTCTGGCGCTTCAACCATCTTGGTAAACACGGAGGGTCCATCTAGGGGGGGGTCGGAAAACCCTCATTTCAAACCAATGGTTCACGTGAGCTCCAGTATCCTAAGGAAAAAATGGCGTATAAACCAATTGTTGGTCGTCGGCTAGCATGAGACTGCATTTTCTAACGTCAGTCCATTGCCTTATGGATCAAACATTTAGGTCGAAGGCTCCTGGTGTGTCCCCCTAAGTAAACCTCCTGCTTCGGTCTGGGTATCCGGACAGTATAACAGCCCACGCGCAAATCAAGTGACCTGTGTGGCGCACATATACTCGGTGTCCCTTTTTACCAACATTTATGTGCTTAGCTAAATAGATAAGTAAGTTGACACCTTCAAGGTCACCACAGTGTTGCACAAAGGTCGTCCATAAACTATAGTCTCATCTAAAATTTATCAATACAGAAGT